GGTTGGCTGGTCGAAGGGGCAGGCATGCTGAGGCTCCCGGAAGCACAGAAAGCCCCCAGCACGTTGTGAACTCTGAGCCTGAGAGCAGTGGGTGCTTAGCAACGGGGGAGGTGCCCAGTAACGAGGTGGGGATTAAGGGGGACACCGGAGGAATTGCGGGTGCCTACAGGGCCATTAGAGGGGAAGGCGGTGCCAAGCAACGAGCAGGATTTCAGAGGAGCAGAGAGGTAGCCCCGGAGGAACTGTGGGTGTCTAGTAACGGGGGAGGACCCTAGCAACGGTGGGGGCTGGAGAGGGCGAAGTGCGTTTTGGAGGCGCGCAGGAGAAGCTAAGGGTTCCTAGCAACCAGGAGAGAACCAGCAGAAGCTGTGGGAATCTATTAATAGTGGAGGAAGTACTTGGTGGGTGGGAATCAGAGAGAGTGGACATAGAGGAACGTGGGGGCCTGGCCAAGAAGCCACCTGAATAACCCCTCCTCTCCTCCCCCAGGCAATGTGGCTGAAGGTCGGGGGCCTACTTCGGGGGACCGGTGGACAGCTGGGCCAGACTGTTAGTCGACCTTGTGGGGCCCAGGGGCCTGGGCCCCACTGCTGGGTAAGACGCTGGGGAGCGGGTCCCCAAGGGGAAGAGGCTGAGGAAGACCAGAGAGTGAAAGGACTGGAGGAGTCCAGAAGGGCCAAGTGACCCCATGTCTTCCCCTCCTGACCAAAGTATATCTCTTGCAGTGGCCATGTGGAGGTTCTTGGGCCCAAAAGTTTTACCAGGATGGGCGTGGGAGAGGCCTGGGTGAGGAGGACATTCGTAGGGCACGAGAGGCGCGTCCCAGGAAAACACCCCGGCCCCAGGTATCGTCACCCTGCCCCCACCCAACAACACCCCACAAAGGCTGCTGGCTCCCTGAGCTTGGGGAAGGATGTGGTGGCAGGGTGGCTGCACTCTCTGGGCACGATGCTCGCTTTCCCACCCTCAGACCTTGTCCCCATTTCCCAGCTGAGTGACCGCTCTCGAGAACGCAAGGTGCCTGCCTCCCGCATCAGCCGCTTGGCCAACTTTGGTGGTAGGTGTGACTTTGGGGGATCTTGGTGTGACCTTGAAGAGGCAATAATTACAGATTGAAGCAAGGGAGATGCATCAGAGACAGGAGAGAGAGAAAGAGAAACAAAGGGCCTGCAAAGCCAAAAGAAATTGAGAGGAACATAAATGATGATTTTCGTTTTTTTTGTTGTTTTTTTTTTTTGAGACAGGGTCTCACTTTGTTACCCAGTCTGGAGTGCAGTGGCGCAATCACCACAGCCTTGAACTCCTGGGCTCAAGGAATTCTCTCGCCTAGCTTCCTGAGTAGCTGGGACAACGACTGTGCACCATCATGCCTGGTAATTTTTTTTTTTTTTTGAGGTGGAGTCTGGCTCTGTCACCAAGGCTGGTATGGAGGGGCGTGATCTCGGCTCACTGCAACCTCCGTCTCCCAGGTTCAATGATTCTCCTGCCTCAGCCTCCCAAGTAGCTGGGATTACAGGCACCCGCCACCACGCCTGGCTAATTTTTGTACTTTTAGTAGAGATAGAGTTTCACCATGTTGGCCAGGCTGGTCTCCAACTCCTGACCTCAAGTGATGCGCCCGCCTCAGCCTCCCACAGTGTTGGGATTACGGGCATGAGTCACAGTGCCCAGCAAGCCTCTGAACCTGGCCCACATAATTAAAATTTTTTTTCTGTGGAGGTAAGGTCTGCCTATGTTGTCCCAGTCGGTCTCGGGCTCCTTGTCTCAAGCGATTCTCCTGCCTCGGCCTGAAGTCCTGGGGTTCTATGCATGAGCCACTCCTCCTGGCTATGATAACATTTACTGAGAACCTGTAATGTGCAGTGCCCCATATATACACATGCTGCACTGAATCAATGCATTCTGTAGATGAGGGCATTGAGGCGAACAGAGGGAGGTAACTTGACTCTGGGTTACATAGCTGGATTTCATGCAGGTCACAACCTGCATGAAAAATATGCGTGTACCTGTGGAACAAGGGAAAATCTTGTTTCATGAAACATATACTTTGGTCTGCACTGTTTATAATGTCAATATCTTCTTTACTGCAGATTATGGTTCAAGTTCCCCCCAACCCTGAGATGGAGTCTTGCTCTGTCCCCCTGGCTGGAGTGCAGTGGCACGATCTTAGCTCACTGCAACCTGTGCCTCCCAGGTTCAAGTAATTCTACCTCAGCCTCCCGAGTAGCTGATATTACAGGTGCACACCACCATGCCTGGCTAATTTTTGAATTTTTAGTACAGACAGGCTTTCACCATGTAGGCCAGGCAGGTCTCGAACTCTTGACCTTGTGATGTGCCCACCTCAACCTCCCAAAGTGTTGGGATTATAGGCATGAGCCACTGTGTCTGGCCCAGTTCAAGTTTTAAAAATATAGATTCAGCTGGGCACAGTGGCTCACGCCTGTAATCCCAGCACGTTGGGAGGCCGAGGAAGGAGGATCACCAGAGGTCAGGAGTTCGAGACCAGCCTGGCCAACATGGTGAAACCTCATCTCTACTAAAAATACAAAAAAAAAAAATTAGTCAGGCTTGGTGGGTGCATGCCTGTAGTCCCAGTTACTTGGGAGGCTGAGGCAAGAGAATCACTTGAATCCGGGAGATAGAGGTTGCAGTGAGCCAAGATTGTGCCACTGCACTCCAGCCTGGGCAACAGAGCAAGACTCCATCTCAAACAAAAGGAAAAAAAAGAGTTGGGAGACAAGCATTCTTGGAGAGAAACTGAGAAAGGAGCGTGGGTTGGGGCAGGGCACCCCAGGCTAACAGGCATTCATATTCTTCTCTTGCACCCCAGGGCTGGCTGTGGGCTTGGGGCTGGGAGCGCTGGTCGAGATGGCTAAGAAGTCCCTGCCAAGAGGTCATTTAAAGTCAGGTGAGTGAGCCATACTGCCTGGGTTCAGATCCTGGCTTTGCCTGTGACCTGGGGCAAGTGACTTCACCTGTCTGAGCTCTGGTTTCCTCGTCTGGAAGATGAAGGTGATGATAATTTACCACCTCTTTGAGTCATTGTGAAGTGCTCTGAACACACCTAAACCACTATCAGGGTCATGATTAAGAGAAGCATATTGATTTTTTTTTTTTGAGACAGAGTCTTCCTCTGTTGCCCAGGCTGGAGTGCAATGGCGCCATCTTGGCCCACTGCAATCTCCGCCTCCCAGTTCAAGCGATTCTTCTGCCTCAGCCTCCCGAGAAGCTGGGATTACAGGCACGCGCCACCACACCCGGCTAATTTTTGTTTTTAGTAGAGATGGGTTTTCACCATGTTGGCCAGGCTGGCCTCGAACGCCTGATCTCAAGTGATCTGCCGCCTGCCTTGGCCTCCCAAAGTGCTGGGATTACAGGTGCGAGCCACTGTGCCCAGCCATATATTAGATTATCTGAGAAAACTTTAAGCCATTGGGAGTTCCTAATTCGAAGCAGGAGCGGAAAGTTGAAAACAGAAGTGCCACCGGGGGTCTGTGTGCATCAGAGATGGAATTAGATGTGTAGCATTTTCGGGTAAGATTCCTCAACAAGTCGATGCTTTAAACAAGTGGGGGTGGATATTCTAGATTAAAAAGAGATGGAAGAGACATCATTTGACAGATGGAGTATATGAACCATGATTGGATTATCAGTTTGGAAAAAAACTCGAAAGACTTTTTGGGGACGATTGGAAAATCCGAATATGGGCTGGATGGCAGATTTTAGGGAATCAGTGTTAATTTTCTTACATGTGATTATGGTACTGTGATTATGTAGGGGAATATCCTTATTCTTAGCAAAGCTTAAGTGCAACTACATGTAAGTGGGTCAGCAAAAAATAATAATAGCAAGTGTGTGGGCACACGCACAGATAAAGCAGACGAAGCCCAATGGTACCATGTTGAATCAGGGTGGAGGGTGTGCAGGTGTTCAGGATATTATGCATGCAACTTTCCTGTTCGGATTTCTTTCTT